TCCCTGTTCTAAAAGATCTTCCCTTGCAGCTCACTTGGACTGCATTAATCTCTCCTATTGACAGAGTTCACCCCGCCAACAGAAGTGCATATGATCAAGGCTATAGTTTTTCCAGTTGCAATGTAAGGCTGTGGAAGTTGGACCATAAGGAAGGATGAGTGCCAAAGAATTGAGGCCTTTGCATTCTGGTGCTGGAGAAAACTCCTGCAAGTCCCTTGGACTGCAAGATGATCCAATCGGTCAGTCCTAGAGGAGATCAACCCTGACTGCTCTTTAGAAGGCCACTTCCTGAAGATGAAACTTAAATACTTTGGCCACCTAATGAGAAGGAAGGACTCACTGGAGAAGAGCCTCATGCTGGGAACGATTGAGGGCAAAAGAAGAAGGGGACGACAGAGAACGAGGTGGCTGGATGGAGTCACTGAAGCAGTAGGCGTGAGCTTAAATGGACTCCAGGGGATGGTAGAGGACAGGAAGGCTCGGATGGACGTTGTCCATGGGATTGCAATGGGTCGGACACGACTTCGCAACTAACAACATTGACAGAGTTGTCACACGGTTGTCTCTCTCTCTGTGTGTGTGTGTGTGTGTGTACACAGTTATCTTTGTATACCTCCAAAATTTTGTCCAGAGGGTGTGAGACCTTACCAAAGCCAGCACGTGCCCATCATGTAACACTGGATGTCACTCACTGATGAAACTAATTGAAGACTCCAGCTAAAGACTTAGTTTTGAGGTCCAGCAAAAGAGCCTTTTCTGCCCTGGCTTCCAACCTCTGGAACATCGTGCCCCTCCCCCCAAGGTGAGATTTGCACCCATCTTTTGACCTTCCAAAAGGGCCCAAAAGCCAGGTTCTGACAACTGAAGGTGGTTAATGAACAGAGGTAAAATCCCCCACCCACCCTTTCCTCATGTGTATTTGGCTCTCTTCCTTGCCACCTTTGTTCATTTTTAAGTCAGTTTTAATATTAATATTAACCTAATGTTTTCTTGCATGGCTTTTTATTTGGCTGTAAGTGTAGGAGAAAGAGTGGCAATATCTGGGGATGGAGTTAAAAGAGGGATCAGCCTAGAATCCCTACGCAGCATCAAGCTGAGTCCCCTTGTGGCTATGTAGGGATTCTAGGCTTATCCCTCTTTTAACTCCACCCTCAGATATTGCCACTCTCCTACGCTTACAACCGAATAAAAGCCACACAAAAAAACGTTAAAATAATAGTAATAACTAAAATTTAATATTAATATTAAAACAGACTTAAAAAGGACTACATAGGGATTCTAAGCGGATCTATTTTTTAATTCCATCCCCCCCCCCCAGGTTCCTTCACTTCTTCTCCTACAGTAAGCCACCTAGAGTTGTCTCTAAGCAAAATGGCGGAAGGGAGCATACAAATTTAAGAAATAAATGAAGATTTTAGACCTGTCAAGCATCTGTATCCATGTTTTTTTTCCCAGCTCACAAATTTCTAGGTCCATGATGGCGAACGTATGGCACACGTGCCACAGGTGGCACACGTAGCCATATTGGTGGGCACGCAAGCTCAGCTCTGGCGTGCATGTGCATGCTAGCCAGCTGATTTTCAGGCCTTCTAGGCCCACCAGAAGTAGAGAAACACACTGTTTCCTGCCTCCAGAGGGCCTCGGGGGGCGGGTGGGTGGGGAAGGCCCATTTTTCTTTCTCCCCAGGCTCCAGAGCCTTTCTAGGTGGGACCAGAAGTTGGCAAATGGGCCATTTCTCGCCTCCAGAGGGCCTCCGGGAGTGGTAGGGAAGGCTGTTTTTGCCCTCCCCAGACTCCTAGAAAGGCTCTGGAGCCTGGGGAGAGAGAAAAACAAGCCTACTGGGCCCACCGGACCATTGCGTGCCAGGAGCGGGGGGAGCGGTGTGTGTCACGCACGCATGCACGGGGGTGGGACATATAGAATTTTGGGTGTGGGCTCATGCACACGCAATCCCCCCTGCGCTCCCCTCGCTCCTGGCAGGTGATGTCAAAAAGGTTAGCCATCACTGTTCTAAGTAGTTAATGAGCCAGCTGAAAAAGTTGGGAACCTTGCTGCTAAAAGAATCCAGTGTATTTCCCAAGTCACAAAGTGTATACATTTTGTGTAAGGAAAGTGTAAGGAATTCTTACCACTTCACCATCAAATACACTAGGACAGTGTTTAATGACTTGCTAAGCTGAGTTACTCAATTCATCTCTTCTTCTGGGTTTGTAACATCATATGTTAAGCCATAAATTAAGTAGGTCAAGTGGGCTTGCATAACAGACTAAACCACAATAAAATAAAATATCCACACTTTAAACTAACCCAGCTTACCCTATTATGCAATAGGTGCGTGCAAAACTCAAAAGTTTCAAGGGCAGAATATTCTGTTCTTTTCCAGAACATTCTGTTTTCCTCCTGCTCTAGTTTGCCCCGGGAGAAACTTCTTTTCTGGAAGGAATTGTTTTGGAATAGGAAATAAATCTGAAATGATAGCTTTCCCCTTCCTTATAAAATGCAACTGTTAAATCATTTACTGACCCATTGAAAGATTGTGTGTGGATGCCATTAATATGTGTCAGTCCGACCTTTAACCCTCCTGGCCAAACCAACTTCTAAGCTAGTTTAGAGCTTTCTTATATTTGGACCGGATATTGTTGCAGCAAATTATATTGAATTCTGTCACAAGATGGTAACCTGTAGGAAGTTTTCAATCTGAATATTCGTTCTTTCCTGGAATAAGCATCTGCATAAAATAAACAGCTAAATCGATAAACAAATTCACCATGCCTTCTGGAAGTCAAATTTTTAATAATTGCATTGTTTTAGTTCCCAGTCCTTTTTTTTTTTTTAGTTCCCAGAAACCAAACCACAAAGTCTCAGCGTAATTTATCTCTGAATTACCAATTTACCAAATAAATGGCTGAACGATGGTCTACCTATTTCCCCCGAAATGAATCACAACTGAGAATCAGACCACCAGCCAAACTGGTTGTACTGAGCTCTATTTGATTCATATTAAATAGGGTTTCAGAGCTTTTGCAATAGGAACCTGAACAACAGCAGAACAACGCTGAATTCAACTAGCCTGATTTAACGGACAGATGAGAATTGATATAATCCCGAAGGCCTCAGCCACAGATTTAGCAGATATCTTGGGCCACCTGACTACATTCAAGCTGTCATTTGATAAACATCAGAACTAAACAGCTGGGATACTGATGGGAAAGTCCTACGGATACGACAGATAAATACGCACAAGTTTGAACTTGCACGACATCTCACTCCAAAAAAAATTATAATAATAATAATAACAACAACAACAACTGGAAAAAATCATGAAATATCGCGACCTGGCCATCGAAACTACACAGCTATGGATGAAACATGTAAGAGTGAGACGCATTGTCATTGGGGCACTTGGTACCATGTCCAAGAATTTTATAAGATACATCAACAAATTGATGTATCCTGCAATAACACCAGCAGAACTGCAAAAAACTGCGCTATTTGGAACATCGTACATCTTAAGAAGGTACTTGGTTGATACCTAGAATGCTGGCAGCAACCCGTATCAATGATTAGCACCGGTCAATGGTATTTGTGATGCATTTTTGAATGTTCAGTTGACTGAGTTTCATGTTTAATGAATAAAGTAAATAACAACAACAACAACTGGCCAGTGATCCCAGCTAACAAAACACAGCAGCCAGCCAACAAAAATTGGGAAGTATAAGAAGATTGTTATAAAGGCAGAAATCCTATATCCCAACTTGTCCCAGCCTGGGACATTCTAAATGTGTTCAAGTCCCATAATGCCTAATCTTAGCCCCAGCAAAACAACATGGGTGTTGAAATACCAGACAGTTAGAGGGGAACTGACAAACACATGGCAGCGCTTGGGGAAGAGTCCTGACTAGGTGGCTCAAGTGGCTAAGACACTGAGCTTGTCGATCAGAAAGTTCGGCAATTCGGTGGTTCGAATCCCTAGAGGGTTGGACTAGATGACCTCCAAGGTCCCTTCCAACTCTGTTACTGTTGAATTGAACGAGGATGACTTTACTTCTCATGTTCTGCTTGTTATATATATATATATATATATATATATATATATATATATATATACTCTCAAAACAGCTCTTCTTCCGCTTGATGAACTCTGCTGAATAATTGATCAAATACTACAGAGACCCAATGCAGCACTGAATGAGAACTCAGAGGAGAGGGAATTATGTGACATTATACGGGGACACCAAAACAACCTCCCTTCGTTCTAAAAGTCGGGATCTGTACACACTCAGATGCGATTAGCAGATCCCCTTCCTGGCCTTGGTGGCATTGAAGACTATTTTTTTGGGGGGGGAAGCATAGGGTTGACTCGGAGACCCACTGCATCTGGGTGCCCAGATTAAAGCAGCTTCATTTGGTGTAGGAATCCTGTGCTCTAGCTGGGAATCTACAGGATATTTCTCCGCAATGATCTGGCAACCCAGAAGCAAGGAAGCCCAACTTGGGATGACCTTGTGTAAATTTTCTTCGGCCGTCCGTAAAAGAAGACCAGGACACCAATATGTTTTGTGGCTTCGCCCTCTGTTCTGATGCTCCCTGTGGTGGCTGGACTTCAACTCCCATGAGAGCGGGAAAGGATCAACAGGATAAATGAGACTCGGGAAGGAGACTATCCTAAAAAGTCTCTTTCCCTTTGAGTAAGTAGCGCTACTAACCCCACTTGCTTTTGTAAAGGGTGCTGTGTTCAGGAGCCACCATCCTGAAAATGCAAAGAGCATCCCTGTTGTGTTTGGCAAAAGGACCTCTTCCTCTCTCTACCATAACTGCAGACAAAGATCTCAGAGTCCTACACATCTTAGGCAGGAGATGCCACATTGTGTCCTGGTTAGGTTTGCTCTAGCAACGATGTGCCACTGCTTCCAACTATTAACCCTGATTAAGAGGTGAACCAACTTGCCCAGTTTGGGGGGAGGGAGGGGCGAGAAAGAAGAAGAATCCATAAGAAATACCTGATTGATGGAAATCACCACCTGTCTAGGGATGAAGGTCTGCATGATGAGCTGCAGGAGGGAGGTAACTAAGCCAGCCAAAATAGCCCAGGTGAGGGGCAGAGGGAGCATGCTGTAGGTAGCAAAGAGAGTGAAGAGCACGTAGCCAATGCCGTCGCCGAGGAGACCACAACCCAAGCCCGCAGCCAAGATTTGGGTGGCCATCGCCACCCAGGTGACCACACCGCTGTACTGCAGGTAGGTGTAAGAGGTCGTGTCCTTCCTGACCACCACTAAGGCACAGATGACCACTTCGATGCCCGTGAAGAAGCCCAGCAGAATGCCCTTGAGGGGGTCCATGGGGGCCGAGGCCAAAGTCAGGTGGAGCAACAGGAGAGTCAGCTTGGTGAGCACATCCAAGATGTTCACCACCACTTCCGACTTCCGCCTCTGGCCCAGGAAGTAGCGTTGGTAGAGGCGCTCCAAGTCCCGAGACTTGAAGGAGTTGCGTAAAGTGGGGAAGATCACACCCCGGTAAGTGTAGCCCCAGTTCAGGAAGAAATCGGAGTTGCTGGGAGCACAATCCAGGTGCAGGAAGCCCAGATCGCCACTGCTGCTGCTGCGCTCGGGGAAGACTTTGGTGCCCCCGTTGTTGTGGCCACTGAGGCTCTTGCCCGCGGACTGACGCCGGGAAGGGTGGCTGTGGTTGGGGCAGCAGGACTCTTCGGAACCGAGGGCTTTGCCACTGCAGTGTTCTTGGATGAAACGCTGCTCGGTGATGTGGCGCACGGCGGTCTGCCACAGCAGGCGTTGGGAGCGGGCACCGCCGCTAGGGGGCGTCTGGTTGATGGTGTACAACTCATCGCTGTCGCTCAAACAACGTACCTCGGACAGCTCCATCGTTGGGTGGGAGGTCGGAGCAGGAGGAGGAGGAAGGTCCCGTCACATTGAAAGGCAGCTGGGTTCTTTTTTTTCCCAGTCCCCCCCACCTCTTTGGCAGGGGGATCAAAGGTCAGTCAGCGGCCGGCAGAAGACAGGGTCCTCCCCATGCCTTCGTTGGCACTGGATATACCTTGGCAGCAAGGCGGGCCTTCGCCAACTGCATCCCCTCCGGCTTCCAGGTCAGCTGGGCAGGATGAAGAGTAGGGCAGGAAGGCTGGTTAAGTGGAATCGGAGCCACAGGCCCCCAAATCCCGGCTGGTAGCTTCCATGGAGCCCTACACCCAAAGTAAAGGAAAGCCACAAACACCTGGGCGCCTTTGAGATGGTGGGGAGGGGCAGATCCCCAAAGAAGCCAGTTTGGAAGCTCCCATCCTACATTCTTGAGCCGCCACCACCACCGCCTCCCCGGCCCCCTCCTTGTTTTTCTTGGCAGCCTTCCAAGTTTCAGGCAGGAGGCTTTCCCATCCTTTGAAGTTCCTGAAGTTCCTTGCAAGCCTTAGACGGAATCCAAGGAAAAGAGAAAGCGCAATCCCCCAGACAGGCGGTGGAAGAGTATTTTTTTTTTTTGTTATAAACCCACGCGGGGGGGAGATTAAAGGGAGCGCAGCGCAACTTTTCCAGGGCTGGAAGTTTCGAAGGACAGGTGGGCCAGCGGCGACCTCCGAGGCTATACAGGCGCAGCTGGGAAGGTTGAAAACGGCCGTAACTGCGGGAGATCTCGGCTGCTGAAAAGCGGCGACATCGGTCCAGCAAGGGGAAAGGAGGGAAGGACGGACTGGACGGGCGGCGACTGGAGGAAAGCCAACGGAGCCCGGAACGAGGATCGGCGCCTTTCCAGCCACGGGAGCGGGCGAAGCAGCTTCAAGGCAGGCGGCCCAACCACGACGAGGCTTGACTCTCTCAGGGCCGGATCATCATCATCATCATCACCGGACGGGCGTCCCGACAGCCCTGCCGCGATCGCCGCCCCCCAAGGCTGCAGCGGTACCAGACGGGCAGGAAACGAGGACTTTTCCTTTTCTTGCGGGAGATCTTGAAGCGAGGCATGGCCCGGAGGGTGGTCGGTGGGTGGCTGGGTGGGTGGGTGAAAGGCAGAGTCGAAGTGGGGAGGGAGGGGGGGTTTGGATGGATCCACTCCGGGCTACTCGGCCGTTTGCTCCGCAGCCGGAGAGCCACCACCGGCGGCTGCGGCGGCGGCGGGATGCATCACTGGCTTCTGCAACCCGCCGCCCGCCGTCCTCTCGGCGCTCCCACGCCGCGGGTGGACCAGCCGGCTCCCCCGGTCACGCGCGCCACAGCCGCCACGCAAGCTTCCTTTTCTCCCCCCACCAGACGCCGGGCTGCCTTTTCCACGGAGGGGGAAGCCTCGGACGCAAAGACCGACCGACCGACCGACCGACCGACGGACGGACGGTCGGGACGGGCCCCGAAACCGAGGCAGCTTCGTCGCCGGAACACTTGCCTCTCCTGGGGCAGGACTTTGCCGAAACGAGCCCACCCCCCCCTCCTTTTTTTTTGCCCGCTCGTTAAAGTTGCTGCGCGCTCCGGGCTCCGCGTCTGCCGGCCGAGCTCGGCTTGCTTGCTTGCTTCGGTTCCTGCAGCCCGGAACGAACGGCCGAATTGGTCGAAATCCGAGCCCGGCGAAAGGGACGATTCGGCCGGGCTTCTCCTCGCCCCAGCCGCCTCTTTCGCTCGGGAAGGGCAGAACCCAGCGCGGTCAGCTGATGGCCCGGTGACGTCAGGCTCTCGGCTCCCCTGGGCGCCCACTTAAAGAAGTACCAGCCTCCTTCTCCCCCCCCCTCCCCTCCCCTCCCCTCCCCTCTTCTCTCCCCCCTCCCCTCCCCCCTCCCCCCTCTCCCCCCCCCCCCCCCCCCCCCCGCCCCTCCCCTCCCCTCTTCTCCCCTCCCCGCCGCTCCTCTCCCCCAGGGAAGAAGCGACGGCTTGCCCGCGGGGGTCCCTTCACACCTGCCCCATCGCCCGCGCCCCACACCTGCTTGCTGGCCAAAAAAAAAAAAAAAAAAGCCCCCGGCCCCGGGGGGTACCCCCCCCCCCCCCCGGCCAGGAGTTTGCCCGAACGCGCAGATGCGCAAACTTGGTCTCTTGGCTTTTGGGGAAGCTGCAGAAGGGACGTTTGTGGAGTTTTAGTGGGCAGGAGGAGGATTTAAAAAAAAAGAAAAAGAACAAAAAAAGTCGATCCGAGTTGGAACCGGTTCAGCTCAAGGCAGAGAGAGAAGAGAGGAGAGGAGAGAGGAGGGAGGGAGGGGGGTGAGAGAGAGAGGTGGGGAAAGAGACAGAGGGGGATGAGAGACAGAGGGATGAGAGAGAGGCGGGAGAGGGGAGAGAGAGAGGAGAGTGGAGAGAAGAGGGAGGGACGGAGGGGGGTGAGGGGGAGAGAGGGGTGGAGGGGGAAGAGAGAGAGTGGGAGGGAGAGGGACGGAGGTGGGTGAGAGAGAGAGGGGAAGAGATAGGGGGGTGAGAGAGAGGGGGAGACGGGGAGAGAGAGAGGGGGAGAGAGGGGGGAGAGAGAGAGGAGAGTGGAGAGAGGAGGGAGGAGAGGAGGGGGAGGGGGGGGGGGGGGGGTGAGGGGGAGAGGGGTGGAGGGGGAGAGAGAGAGAGTGGGAGGGAGGGAGGGACGGAGGTGGGTGAGAGAGAGAGGGGAAGAGATAGGGGGGGTGAGAGAGAGAGGGGAGACGGGGAGAGAGAGAGGGGGGAGACAGAGGGGGGTGAGAGAGAGAGGGGGGGGAGAGGGGGTGGAGAGGAGTGGAGAGAAGAGGGAGGACAGAGGGACAGAAGGGGGATGAGGGGGGAGAGAGAGAGAGATGGGGGTGAGAGGGAGAGAGAAGGAGAGAGAAGAGAAGAAGGGAGGGAGGAGCAAGGAAGAAGAGAAGAAGAAAGGAAGAAAAGAAAAAAGAAGAAAGAAAAAAAAAGAAAGAAAGAAAGAAAGAAAGAAAGAAAGAAAGAAAGAAAGAAAGAAAGAAAGAAAAAGAAAGAACTTGGTATGTTTAAGCCCTGAGTAAATTGACCATATTTACTTGGTCTGGTACCTGAAGTTGAGTTGACATAAAAGATGACCAACATCTCAATCATCCTAGAGGACTAGAAGTCGAGCCTTAAATTATAGTGAAGCCGATTCTGAGTGAGTAGAAGATTCTTCACAACAGGATGATATCAATTTTCCAGAGATGGTGGGCCTTCCTTGGTTTGGAGCAGGCCATGCATGCATGCATGCATTCATCCATCCATCCATCCACTTATTACACAAAGAAAACAGCAATAGCACTTGGATTTATAAAGTAGTTTTACCCAGTTTGGGATAATTTATCCAGGTTTGGAAAACACTGGATTAAGGCATCGGGCTAAAAACCAGGAGACCGTGAGTTAAGAAGGCTTTAGGGACTAGTCCAGGCAGTCTTCAGGAGTCAACAATGACTCAAGGGCACAAGGAAGGGAAGGGAAGGGGAAGGGGAAGGGGAAGGAAAGGAAAGGAAAGGAAAGGAAAGGAAAGGAAAGGAAAGGAAAGAAGGAAAGGAAAGGAAAGGAAAGAAGGAAAGGAAAGAAGGAGGAAAGGAAAGGAATGAAAAGAGGGGAGGGAAGGGAGAAGGAAAGAAATGGGGATGAGAAGAGGGAAGGGAAGGGAGAAGGGGAGAAGGGAAGGGAAGGAGGGAAGGGAGGCGCTCAGGAGAGAATTCGATTGGAAGTAGGAGTCATTAAGGATCCTAATTACAGAGTTCCAAACTCTGCCTCTAGAAATCTCTTCTCACTTGTCCTCTCTCGTTGGAAAGCGAAAGATAGTTCAGCCTGGTTGAGAGAGCAAAAGGAAGGATTGAACAGTTGCTTAATGCAGGGAGAAGCTGCTGCAGATCCTCCTCACTGCAGAAGGAAGGAGACACCAGCTGACCGAAATTCTGCTCCCCACTGCAGAAAGATGGAACTTGGAGAGGAAAAGTGTAAAGATCAAGCACTGCAAAGATGGAGCATCCCTAATGCTCTTTTCTTTGCCTTTCATGAGGGGTGGGAAGAGATTGATTGGGAGGGAGGGAGGAAGAAAGAAGGAAGATGGGATGGAGGAAGGAAGGAAGGAAGATAGGATGGGATGGATGGATGGAGGGAGGGAGGAAGGAAGGAAAGGAAGGAAGATAGGATGGGATGAAGGAAGGAAGGAAGGAAGATAGGATGGGATGGAGGAAGGAAGGAATGAAGGAAGGAAGGATGGATGGGATGGGATGGGGTGGGATGGAGGAAGGAAGGAACGAAGGAAAGAAGATAGGATGGGATGGTGGAAGGAAGGAAGGAAGATAGGATGGGATGGAGGAAGGAAGGAACGAAGGAAGGAAGAAAGGAAGGAAGATAGGATGGGATGGGATGGAAGAAGGAAGGAAGAAAGGAAGGAAGGAAGGAAGATAGTATGGGATGGGATGGAGGGAGGAAGGAAGGAAGGAAGGAAGGAAGATAGGATGGGATGGGATGGGATGGAGGAAGGAAGGAACGAAGGAAGGAAGATAGGATGGGATGGTAGAAGGAAGGAAGGAAGGAAGGAAGGAAGGAAGGAAGGAAGATAGGATGGGATGGGATGGGATGGGATGGAGGAAGGAAGGAACGAAGGAAGGAAGGAAGATAGGATGGGATGGAGGAAGGAAGGAAGGAAGATAGGATGGGATGAAGGAAGGAAGGAAGGAAGGAAGGAACCTCAGAGGTCTTCTAGTCCAACCCCTTGCTCAAGGCAGGAGAACTTATACTATTGTGGTCATATGGTTATCCATCTGGTTTTAAAAACCTCCAATAATGGAATACACAGAACTCTGGGAGGCAAGCTGTTCTCACCATCAGGAAATTTCTCCTTACTTCTACTGTAGGATCTCTCTTTCACAAGCTTCCACCCATTACTTCTTGTCCTGCCCTCTGTGCAGGACAGGGAAAGGAGGAATCAAGGACTGGGTTTTTTAGGAGTTCATTTACTTTTCCATCTTCAAACTTTTCCAGAAAAGGTGTTAGGTAGTCTCTTTAGGTGGGCCATTTAGGTTAACTGCCAACAGAATGGAAGAGATTTGACCTCCCTTTCCTCCTATAATATGCTACACTCACCCTCCAAATATCCTGAGGGTCTCTCAGCCCGGGATTTATCAGGCCTGACTCTGCTTTGCCTTTTGAGATCTGCTTGGCTAAGGGATTTACAAACCTGTTCAGATTAACAGAGTTGGAAGGGACCTTGTAGGTCATCTAGTCCAACCCCCAACCCAAGCAGGAAACCCTACACGATCTCTGACAAATGGCAGTCCAGTCTCTTCTTGAAAGCTTCCAGTGATGAAGCTCCCACAACTTCCGAAGGCAACTTCTGTTCCATGGGTTGATTGCTCTCACTGTCAGAAATTTTCTCCTTATTTCTAAGTTGAATCTCTCCTTGTTCAGTTTCCATCTGTTATTCCTTGTCTGGCCTTCAGGTGCCTTGGAAAATAGCTTGACCCCTTCCTCTCTGTGGTAGCCCTTCAAATATTGGAAGACTGCTATCATAACAGGACAGAACAGAACAGAACAGAATTCTTTATTGGCCAAATGTGATTGGACACATAAGGAATTTGTCTTCGGTGCACAAGCTCTCAGTGTACATAAAAGATATAAGTGATAAATCATGCTCATACTCATCATAAATGTATTCATCATGAATCATAAGACACAACACTTAGTGATAGTCATAGGACTACTAAATAAGCAATCAACATAAATCATACTAGGAAACTAAATAAAACAATATAAATCATAAAGATACAAGCAACAAGGTTATCTTAAGTAGGAGGATGGGAGGAATAATAGTAATACAGTCTTAGTAAATAGTTTGACAGCGTTGAGGGAATTAGTTGTTAAGCAGAGTGATGGCGTTTGGGAAAAAACTGTCCTTGTGTCTAGTTGTTCTGGCGTGCAGTGCTCTATAGCATCGTTTTGAGGGTAGGAGTTGAAACAGTTTATGTCCAGGATGTGAGGGGTCTGTAGTTATTTTCACAGCCCTCTTTTTGACTGGTGCAGTATACAGGTCCTCAATGGAAGGCAGGTTGGTAGCCATTGTTTTTTTCTCCA